CCCCAAAACCCCAAAACCCCAAAACCCCAAAACCCCGAATTCAAGAATATAATAGTAAGTATAGCGATTTGATAATAAATATATAAACAAATGGTAAAAGCTTATCTTAAGTATGTTCAAGCAGATGTCATTGGAGGACTAGTAGGCAACTAATGTAACATTGAATACTGCAGTGTATAGTATGAGGATGGGACAGTTAAGGGATTTTATTTGGTTTCAGGTTGCAATGAAGTGATTGTATTTACTAATATCAACACAGGAGAAGTTGACTTTAAGCTTTATGACCCAGAAGCAATAAATGGCCAAGTGAGAGCACTTAAGGTTTCCAAGAACTTGCTTGCTGCAGGCTTTAATGATGGAACAATCAAAATATATGATTTAGCTTTAGAAGAGTATGAAATTAAAGAAGTGCATAAATATAGTTTCCACAGATCAGCAATTACCTGCATTACTTTCTTTGATGATAACACTCGCATGGCAAGTGGTTCTCAAGACACATATATTGTCATTTATGACTTGATTTCAGATATTGCTCAATTCAAGCTAATGGGTCACAATGAATAAATCACATAATTGCAGAATTTGAATTTCAATAATGCTTCAACAGGCCACTAGCAGTAAATATTGATTTCTTCATCAAAAGATGGAATGCTTAAATTTTGGGATATTGATTAACAAAGCTGTCTTCTAAATGCAAGTGATTAATACCTTTCCCCCATTGAAGATTTTGCAGTCATCCCAGAGTTAAAACTTATTATTGCAGGTTCTCAAGATAACTAGCTCAGACTTTTTAGAGTGTTCCTAGAATAGGACACCTAATAAGTCTCATGTAAACTAGTAGGTGGATTTAAAAAGGACAGTGGTTCAAAGTTACTTGAAATTCACTATAGTTAGCTAGATAGGTTGATTACCCTCATTAGTTCAGATAACATCTTTGAGATTATTAAGGTTAATATTGACAAAAAGGATTCACTCATTAAGAAGCTACTTAGACTTAGTAAGAGAAAAGCACTCAAAAGAAAACAAAGGGAAGAAGACTTAGATTAGGAGGTAGAAAATGAAGTCAAAGAAGTGATTATTGACAAGGATTAGATTTTAAGTGACTTTGAAAGTGGCAATTATGATGTCTCAGTTCACTTTTCAAAATAACTTGCCTTTGAAATGGATTCTCAGACTAAGATAAAATCTATTTCAACCTAGAAAATTAAGACCAAAAGCGCCTTGAACACTCTCGCAATATTTGCAGCCTTCCACTCTAACTAAATTTAGTGGTTGAATTACGACCTAGATTCCGAAAAGAAGGACAAGGTTATTCCAAAAACTTAAAAAATATTCGGGGAACTTGAAAGTCATAAACTCGCAATTAGAAGTGTTTAGATCTCTGAAAATGATGGAATTATGGCCACTGCCTCTTTTGATTCAGTCAAAGTCTGGTAAATAGACTTTAATTCTTAGTAGGAATCTTTGAAAATGAGATGCTCTCAGAGTATTGATCAATAAAATGTGACAGCAATCATGATTATTCCAGGTAACAAATATGTGTTAATGGGAACTAAAGATGGAAGCTTAATTCTACATGATATACAGTCTAATGATGTCGTATTTGAGGAGGTCAAGAATAAGCACAATAAAGAAATTTGGGAATTGGCAATGCATACCAATCCTCAAATACCTGACGCTAAAGGAAAACTCATGATTGCCAGTTGCTCATCAGACAAAACCATTAAATTTTGGACTCTTGTTTAATCAACCACAACTATGAAAGTGAAATTACAATTATACTAAAAGATTGAATCAACAGATGAAGTGATGGGAGTTAAATTTTCCCCAGACGGAAAGTACTTCGTCTTCTCACTATTAGACCAAACAATGAAAATATGCTATTTGGATTCTATGAAACTGTCTCTCAACCTCTATGGCCATAAGTTGCCTATTCTTAGCTTTGACATTTCCTCAGATAATAATCTTTTAGTTTCTTGTTCAGCAGATAAGAATATTAAGATTTGGGGAATGGATTTCGGAGATATTCATAAATCTATCTTTGCTCATCAGGACTCAATCACTTGCGTGAGATTTATCAAAGAAACTCATTACTTCATGAGTTGCTCTAAGGATAGAGAGGTCAAGTTCTTTGATGCAGATACTTATGATGAGGTTTTTGTGTTTGATAACTTCTTCGGAGAGGTCTGGGGGCTTGCTTGTTCTTCCATTGGTGATTTCTTTGTGACTGTGTGTGCTGATAAATGCATTAGAGTTTGGAGATAGACCTAAGAGCAAGTTTTTATTGATGAGGAGAGAGAAAGAAGGGAAGAGAAGGCAATGCTTAAAGATGCTGAGAAGGAATACTAAGAGATTGATCTCGCTAAGCAAAATCAACTTGACCCATTTTCCAAGGATAAGATCATGAAGATTGAGACTATTGCTGCCTTTAAAAAGACTTCTGAAAATCTCAGATACGGTGAGGACTTAATGGAGGCACTAGAAATGGCTGAGCAATTCAAAGAGGAAATCGAGCAATACGAAATGCAACTTGAGGAATGCGAGAAGTCAAAAAGCAAAAATAGACCACCAAAGCCCAAAGCATCACCTATGTTTAACAATAGAAATATATTTCAGCATGTGCTTATACATCTTAAAGCCATTAGAACATCTGAAATCGAAAACACACTGAGATTCCTAAATTACAAGCAGTGCACCTAGCTACTTTACTATTTAGAGCATCTAATTAGAAATGTAATTAAATTCTTAAAATATAAGGATATAGAATATTGATCTTGATCTCGCTACAAGATGTGCTCTTTACATACTCGAGGCATATCAGCCACAAATATAAATGACTACTGAATTGATTCCATTGGTTAAATCTATCTCCTAAAATATGAGATCTCACTACAAGTAAATGAGAGTAGGTTATTTAACTTGTTTATAATATTCTAGGACATTATTGGAATGAATGTCTCAGCCTTAAAGATTCTGGAAAAAGAAGTAACTCAAGCTGCTAATTAGCAAATTTCGTTCAAAGATTTCAATTAGCCATTCAGCTTTTGAAAATGAAAACAAAAAACACATCAACCACCTAATTAAATTATTTTTATTTATTATTTTTAATATAAGCTTATTCACATAAATTTTATATAAAGGGGTTTTGGGGTTTTGGGGTTTTGGGG